GCTGGCATTCATGTCTTCATTTTGGGGTAATTTTATCTTTAGGCATAGATACCATCCTATTAATGGACGTGATGATTGTCCTTGCATATCTTCTCTATTAAATTGATTATGTTCAATTTGCTTATATTGCTTGGTATTCAGTGTTTGAAATCTGATAGAGAGCAGATTGTGAAGATTCAGAGGAGGTTTGGTAAACACTGAACTGAGCATTTCTGTGTTCTGGCAATATTCTAAATGAGCATTATGCCCCTCAACAAATTGGGCCCTTGATAATGAACTAAACTTGATACCCTGCATGCTTTTCACACCAGTACAAATTAGCTATTTAGGATTTGCTTATGTTACTTTTTTATCCATCCCTGACTCTTCCTATCCTTTATCCCTATTCTAGTTCAATTTAAAACATTTCTTTCTTCATTTAAGCCTTTTCTTTTTACTTCTAATAAACATTCATATTTTTCCATGCCTATTAACTTTTTTCTTCTCTCTTAGATGCAGCTAATACACCCAGTTGGCCCAAAGTACCCAACCTATAGTTATATAATCTGACTCCCAGTTCAGTTTTACCCTGCTAATGCCTTCATACAATTGGGAGCCGTAGATTTGTGCAGGTAAATCTTCGCCATAAGACAGATTAGTGTTGCCTATCATGCTTCTGTGCAAGATCCATCAGGGAGTGACTATTTTTTCCTGAAGCTCTAAGAATCATTGTATAATCGCTTGGTCAATGTAAGTGTCTTTTGTCTGAATATTAAATTTTGAATTTTATCAAAGTAAGTACGTGATATCAGCTTAGATTGGGCTAAAGTCTGTAATGTTTATGAAGAAAGCTGTTTACACTGCATTAATAGTGTGAACAGCATGGAAGGCGCATGTTCAACATACTGTAAAGAACATTTACTATCAAAACCATTACATAAAAATGATTATTACTTATTTTAGGAATTTTACCATTTGTTAGACTTAAAAGTCTGATGGAACCTCTACTTAGAGAAAGCTAGTAATTCACCCAAAAATGTTTATTGAGCACTGTATTTATTTCATTGTGAAAGAAAACATAAAATTGTAAAATAAAATGGGTTTATTTCAGGTTATTTATGAATTAGGCCTCCAGTTAGGTTTTTCTCTAATCTATGGTGGTCAATCCTCAAGCTGTCTGTCCTAAAGCATCACGCTTGTACTATATGTTTAATGCTTATGTTTATGTGTGTTCAAGGCTGTTGAATATACAGAGGCAAGGATAATATAGATCTTTTCACTGGTCAGAATAAAAAATTATTGATTGCTCTTTTGCTTATGGTATTCATCGAGACAATATTATGCACATTCAAAATGCTTTGCTCTCTGGTTCTTCTTTCAGATGTATCAGTGCAGGTCTTCCTAAAACAGAGGCCAACTGGCAGCATGTAATAAGTGATCTGAAAAGAATTGAAGATCTTATTCAAGTGAGTACTCATTTTCCACAAAGTAGCTGGTATAATTGCCATAGAGAATGTCTCTCTCTCTGCTTTTTCTGTCAGTCTTAATGAAATCTCACTTAGAACAATAATATTTTTGCAGACATTTATGAACCTTGTAAAGCCTCCAAAGAAATACTTTTTCCTTACTGTTTTAAGATTCTAATTATCTTTAAAATTTAATTTATAAGTGGCTCACCCTGAAGAACTCTAGTCTGCACAGGCAAGAGAGTCTCTTCCTCTATCTAGAGAAACCAGGGTGCTCGGGGGGACCTGCAAGGGAGAATGGCTTAACCCAGGGAAGAGTTCTCTTGCCTGTGGACTAGAGACCCTCTCCACCCACCTAGAGTCACCAGGTGACATAACAGAAATGGCAGTGGTAAGAGAGCAGAACCCCCACGCAAAACAATGGCCTGGAGAGGTACACTCTATTCCTGGGGACCAGAGTCTCCCATCCTCTACCTAGAGAAACGGTGACACCAAAAGGATCAGTGGGAATCCCAATGGCACCAGCATACCAAAATGGTACCACAAAAGTTCTAAAAACTAAAAAAGTTCATTTCAAAAGGTTGCCTACTATATGATTCCATTTATATAATATTCATGAAATGCCAAAATTATAGGAATGGAGAACAGAGAAGTGGTTGCCAAAGGTGAGAGAGATTGAATGGTGATGGGGGGTGATGTGTGGGTAGGAAGGTAGATTTGGCTATGAAAGAATAGCAGGGGAATCCTTGTGGTGATGGAACTATTAATATTTTATATTTTAACTGTGGTGGTGGTGATGGGAATCTACACATGTGATGAAATTGCATGAAACTGCATGTGCGCTCATGCACACACATACTAATGCACATGAAACTGTTAAAATCTGAACAAGGTGAGTGCATTGTGTTAATGTCAATTTCCTGGTGGTTATATTGTACTGTGATTACGCAAGACATTACCATTGTGGGAAACTTGGTGAAGAGTACACAGGATCTCTCTGTATTTTGCTTTAACAATTTCAAATGAATCTTAAATAATCTCAAAATAAAAAAATTAATTTCAATAGCCTATTTTAATGTTTTCTGCAGGTTATTCTCATTATATCTAAAGCAGGGCATAGTTTTTCATGTTATCTAATTTTGTTTCCTTTCAGTCTATACATATTGATGCTACTTTATATACTGAAAGTGATGTTCATGTGAGTACAGTATTTTTTATAAATTGTTATTTTGCCAGTTTTCAAAAGTTTAAGAAGTATATT